AACATTTATGACAACATATAATGATCATATATGGTTCCTAACGGCATTATATGACCCAGAGATGTATCCCCTAAAATATTATATTTTTCTACACCGGTCCCCGAAACCACCAAAATTTCTCAAAAAGCGTGGATATTAGTCTTCAATTTTAAAATTTTTTGATTTTTTTTCGTCCGGAAATAAAAATTGTCGAAATGTTTACCATGGTCCCTAATATCCTTCGGGAGTCCAATTGGGTGGGTGGAACCATCCATTTTCCTTTAAACGGTCAATTTACATGTTTACAACTTGCACTGATTTCATTAATTCAAGCCTACCACGAACATTTATGATAACAAATAATGATCATATATGGTTCCAAACGACATTATTGATGTGTCTATTTTATATAGTATTTTACCCCCGTCCCTTGGTCATAATTGGTAGTGTTTTTGGCTCTTTAGAGCCACTTTTATTACTAATTAGTGTTTTCTAGTGTTTTCGTTGATTTGGTTGACTTTTGCAGGGATTTGCACTTTTGGAGCATTTTCCCGAGATATTATAGAGCAAATACGATCACTGGAGAAACACGACCAGTTTTGATAGCACAGGGCCGGTTAGAGTTATCGAACTGGTGATTAAGGGCTCGGTATACGTGATACCGGGGCATTTGGACCGAGTATTCAAGACCCAAAGAGGAAACCCAGATTGGCCTGAAGAATTGAAACCCAATCGTAGTCCAGATAGTGGCCCAAGAGAGTCGCCCGGCCAAAAAGGCTGGCGCCCGGAGGCGCGCTCGGTCGGGCGAGAGAAGCAAAGGTTGGCGCCCGGTGACGCGCCCGGCCGGGCGCGAGTTTGTACCTGAAGAGAAAAAAGGCGCGCCCGATCGGGCGCGTGTTATTATTAGGAGACGATTAGCGTCGTTTAAGTTTGTTTTAGTTTAGGATTCGTACGGAGTATAAATACTTCTCCGTAAAACGATTTTAGGATTTTCTTAACTCTCTTAATTATTTCTCTTAGACTTTCTCTCTCAACTTAGCTTTTAGATTAATTCTTTCTCTTATACTTTTGTTCTCAACTTTATTCTTAATTCTAGATTTATTTTTGGTAACGATTTTTCTTCTCCTAATCTTAGTTGTTTATTTTATTCCCTTGATCATGTCTTGCTTTATTGCTTTGATTAGTTTAGTTTCTATTATGTGTGAGTAGTTCTATTTCTAGCGTTTGTGGGGATCCATAAATAATATGAAGGGGTGATTTATCGTTGTTGATTGTCAATGCTAGATTAATTTCCTATTGATTGATTTAATGCTCTGTGACTAGATTAGGCATGATCTTTTATGCATGAGTTTAACAATATTGATTCGAGATTCGACGGATGAGAATTAATGTTTAGGTCTAGTTTCAATAGGCAGGTAAATTTATAAATGGTTAAGTCGAGATTCGAAAGATGAGATTTAATGCCGGTAAATTGATTGTGTGATTATAATACGTAGCGAAAGCCCTTTATAATCTGATTAATGTATGCATTGATGATTTATTGTTATGTTTTACCCTGGAATATTATTTATTGGTGAACCTATGCCTCAGATCCTTTTATATATTATTTTCTCCTTATTCTTAATCCTCGTAGTTTAGTTTCACATTCAAATTCACATATTGGTTACTTTATAATTTAGATTACTTTAGTTAATTAGGAATAGAAAAAATCGTTTCTCTGTGGATTCGACCCTACTTCCCTATCTACATTAGTTAGAGGATTTAGGTATTACTTTTGATTAGGGGATACGACTTTACCCTGTGTAGGCGTCACTCGAAGTGCGCCTACGTTAAAGCATGTGTTATTATGCTTGGCACTCTTAGGAAGTGAGAATTGACATAATACGATTAGGGACAAATAAAGTAGGGACCCGTCAACAAGTTTTTAAGGAACTTGTAAACCGTTCACGGATCATAAAAAGGCAACCAAGAATAAGGGACAACAAAGGCAACAACGATTGACCCGTGAAGGTTACACCCCATTCATAATCCATGAGATTACTAACTCCATATGGTTCGGAACCACGAAAGGAGGATCAGGGATGATGGTACGAAGTGAGTCATGGAGTCACATTCGCCCGTATTGGCCTCTACTTGATTCTTATAATGAAAAGTGATTCATGTGATCTCAAAGGCATACAAACAAAGATTCAATTTGTTCCAAACTATTATTAAGCTAAATTGGTTGAATATTAATGCAACACATAATTCTAAAATATCGTGATCACTTGATTAAACAATAAGATTAAAAAGGAACCTAAACCGGTTGTCCAAATTATCTTATTAGGCGTTATTTTCAATTACATATTCCCTTTAAACATGCAATATGGTGATCAAAATAATAATACAATAACATCAATATTGGAAGCAATTTAACAATAATAGTGTTAGTCAAATCAAATATAAAATAACCTAATCATGATACTAGCAATATAAAATAAAATAAGAGTAATTAATTTAATTAATTACTTACATTCAGCACGTTCCTTTAAATCACTACATCATGAATAAACTGTTAGTAACTTCAATAAAAAAAATATAAAGTAAATGAAAATTAAATTAAATAAAAAGTAGAGTTGATTTGGTCAAAACCCTCAGTTATTTGTACCTTTCACACCTTGGTTTAAGGACGGAACCTCGGGTTAAGTATAGACTCCTTGGAGTGCTTAGGGGAATTATTATGGAAGAATAAGGAGGCTAGAAATTAGGTTAAAGAGGGAGAAGAGAATGATTTTTGGTGTAAGGTGAGAGAGAATGATTATTGGTGTCCCCGTACATCAGAAATGAGGGGGTATTTATAGAAAAAATGTGCTGAGGGAACACACGAAACCCTAAAATGATAAAAACCCTAAAAAAGTATATCGTGACACGACAAAGTGTACCGTGACACGGAAAATCCCACCGTTAGACGGGAAACATTCCCATGACACGATGTACTTTTGTGTGACGCGGGAAATATATGCTGAGCGGGAAAGAAAACGCGTTAAGGGTTTACGCGGAAAGGACACGGAAACCCCCGTGTCACGGCAGGTGTCCCGTGTCACAGGGACTCCCACCGTCTGACGGGACAGGTTCCCGTGACGCGGGAGACTGTGGTACGTTTTTTCCATCTAAATTCATTTTTAACCCTAATTTCGTTCAACATTTTAAGTGTCGATTGATAATTTCGGGCCATTTTTGATGTATTATTATTATTTGGGCTAAAAAAAAGAAAATAAGTAAATAAAATAAATAAAAGGTTTTGGCCAAAAAAAATAATAAAACAATAAACTAAAAAGGGTTTGGGCTAAAATTAAATAATAAGTTTGGGCTGAAATTAAAACTATGCTTTTACCAAACATCAAGACTAATCCATGGACTGTTCAAAAATACGAATTTAATCAAATACGATTTTTTAAGCGCTCTCGGGATTAAATACTGAACCCGACCAATAGTGGCGGTGAAAGGTTGTTCATTATCGGGTTTGGTTTTGGGGACACATTTTTAGGTGTCTACACCCTGTCAGTTATATGACCCCGAGATGCATCCTATAGAATTTCAAGACTTTTTGACACTGGGCTCCGAAGCTTCCAAAATTTCTCATAAAGCGTGGATATTAGCCTTAAGTTTTGAATTTTTTTTTGACTTTTTTCGCCCAGAAATAAAAATTGCCGAAATGTTTACCATGGTCCCTAATACTCTCCGGGAGTCCAATTGGGTGTGTGGAACCATTCAATTTTCTTTCAGACGGCTAATTTATCGGTTTACAACTTGCATCGAATTACAAGTTTACAACATCCAATTTAATTAACTTGCACCGAACCCAACTTGAACCGAAATTGACCCAAATCCGTTTTAACCCATCAAAATCCAAATTTAACCCGACTTGTTACTAACATGACCTGAATTCAACCTGACCCTTTCCTAACCCGACCCGAATTTAACCCAACCTGTTACAAACTCGACCCAAAATCAACCCAACTTGTTATTGACCTGACCCAAATTCAACCCGACTCGAAATTAACGCGACTTGTTATTGACCCGACCTAAATTCAACTCAAATTGTTCCTGACCTGATTTTAAATCATCTTAAATGCAATTTAGACTACCTTATTATTGTTGATCAAAACATTTTGTTTTGGGAGACCAAGTCGGTCGAGGCCAGCAAAAGAAAGGAGCATCATCATCATTTAAGAGTTAAATATAGTATATATTGTTGTATGGTCAAAGGAGATAATTATCTTCCTAAATTATACACTATAGTTCCTTAGTATATTGCCATATATATTATAGTCATAAGAAATAATTAGCTTGATAAAAATGATAATTATCTATTTATATTTAGTTGAATCCCGAATATGACCTGACCTTGAAATGACCCAACCTGATTGTAACCTGCAAATTATTGACTTGAACATAACCCGACTTGAATCCGAGAATGACCCAACTTGGAAATGACCCAACCTGAGTATAACCCACAAATTATTGACTTGAATCGAACCCGACTTGAACCCGAGAATGACCTGACTTGAAAATGACCCGACCTGATTATAATAAATTATTAACTTGAATAGAATCCAACTCAAACCCGAGTATGACTCGACCTGATTCTAACCCGCAAATTATTGACTTGAACCGAACCCGACTCAAACCCGAGAATTACCTTAACCCGTTTTAACCCGTGAAAACCAGAATTAAACCCAACCTATTGTTCACCCGACCCGAATATAACCCGACCCAAACCCGATAAGAAATATAACCCGACTCAAGCATGACCCAACCCAAACCCGACCCGCATAGGTTATAGAATTAATCTGAATTGACCCGACCCACTCTTACCCGACCCGTTTACCCAAATTCACAGCTCTAGTCTTTCCCCTCCAAAGAAAAGAATGTGTTGCTAACAATACATGTAATTATATTTGTATAGCGTGTATATCAAAATGCTAGATTAATCCCAAAAGTGAATGAGAATTGTTTGTGAAACACCTGTCCAAACAAAATGTGGAAAGGTATCATTAAGTCCTACTATAGCTTGCTAAAATTACATGGGCACAAATTTCCATCAAAAAAATTTTTTAGCACACATTTTCAGCTATTAATCTATATTTTCACCAAGAAAAGAGCTCAACAATATCCAGCTTCATGTAGAGTCTTGATCACTGAAAAAATACAAAGGAAACCTAAGGCTGATGATTTTACACTAATGTATGCCAATTTCTCCATCAGAAAAAGTGATGATCTCCAATTCACCACCTAGAACATATCTTACACTCTTTCTCAGTTCTGGAAGAAACGCCGTAAAGCCAATCGATATCCAACTACAAAATTTACCCATTTCTTAAAACCTTGTAAAGAAAAAGTCAAGTCACTCAAACCAAATCCCAGCTACGACCAATGTGAACGTCAATCTAGGACATTGTGTTACTAGACAAGTGTAGTATGCACAGCTCGAACATCCTCTTGAATTTATCTGAAAAATACATCAGATAATAGGTGAACACAATGGCCAAGCAAAAAGAGATCGTGCAATAAAGTAAACCATATATGCTCAAATTTGATGTAAAATGAAAAGACTAATGACACATCAGAAGTAACTTTATGCTATGTTTGGATAAGAAATTAGAAGGGAAATGGAAGGGAGGGAAATAGGAGGAAGGGGAAGGAAGGGAAAGTGGAGGAAATGATGAGCTCCATTTTCCCTCCAAATCTCTCCAATTTTGAAGGGATGGTCTTTATTAAAAGAGGAGGGAAAATGGATCCCTCCCTCCCCCAACATATTATCCAAACAAGGAACTTTGTCTCCCTCCCTTTCCCTTCACTTCCTTTCCTTCCATTTTTTGTTATCCAAACATAGCCTTAGTGAACAGAATGAGTTTATATAGTTCAATGCTCCAATCATGGGATTACCAGTTTATAAGTTCTAGGCTCCCATCAGAAGCACCAACTTTAAATCTTTAACACCGTAATTCATTACTACATTCTTTTGCAAGGTAATTCATAACTACATTCTAATAACAGATCCACAAAAGCGAATCAAAGTGCCAATATACAATGGAAATGTTGCACAAGATCGAAGCAGACCACCCAGATAAATTCCTTTTCTGGATGTATATTTCAGTGATTAGTTAGTAAAGCAGATTTATAAAGGCGAGTAAAATACTATAAACATGTGTAGGTCCAGCATCCAAAGTCTCATCCCCCCTCCCCTCCGATCATACAAGATTGAAACAGCGTGAACTGAAAATGCTGACTTATTTACAATGGCATCAACCAAAATAAGAAATAGCAGGTTATAGTCAAGAAATCATCCATGGCTCTTCTATAAGCACACAAAACGCTATCATCCAAATCTCCTCACGTCTCCTCTATAAAGCAACATTGTCATGGCATACTAAGATGAAAGAGTCTCCATATCCTTTCTCAAGACTCCTCTTCTCAATAATGATGCAGCTCAGTAATTTTCATACATGTCCCCTTTTATAAAGCAACATTCCTATGCCAGTCTCATAATTAATAGGGCTGTCATCATCAGTCCCACCCATATATCATCCAGGCAGTCACATCAAGCCCTCCGTCACTAGGGCTAGCAAAAGATTGGATTCGTAGGAAACTTTCAAAAAGAGGTTTTTAGGTGTTACATGCATTTTGCTCAAGTGTTATCCCATAATCTCTTATAAAAAAACCTTTCAAAAAGAATCAATATTGCTAATTATCAACCTCTCCCTTACCTCAATTGGGGGAAAAAATATTATTTCTTCACATATGTTAACAATATCCATCAAATAATAACTTAGTCTCACGTTAAGAACTTCATGAAAGATGTTAGATGTATCATGCAAGATCAAAGTTTACAAAGCTCCAGACTGATAAATATGTTTTCAGATGGAGGAGTGACTTAATAGAAGAAACCTTACCATCACTAAACAAACAAAAACAAATAAATAAGAGACAATTGAGTACATCTTTTCCCTTTAATAAACAAACAAAAAACACTTCACATCACTAGTAGAGAAAAAACTAAATGTCAGTCTCAATCTTCTCACAATTGTTAGCTTTATATCATAACACAGCAGAATGATACAGTTAAGTCAGGTATTAAATGCATTTGCAACTTGCAACTGCCATATTATTGCCATAATGACAACAAAATATCACACTGAGATAAGGTGACTAATCAATTTTAGAGCAGGTACAGAGCATAATTTGATCAAAATATCCACACCATGATATTATAAGATCATGTTTGATAAAACAGGACTGCACCAAATCAATATAATCTTCACTTATACCTAAAACAGGAAATTATAAGGTAAATTATATAGAACCAGAATTACAGAAAACACACTCGCACCCACATCAAATGGTCCAGTCTACAACAAATAGCTCCTTATTCCATTACATGTAGCTGGATGGAAAAAGAAATAAAGACAACACTACACACTATGATCAAAGGAAAATTTCTCAACACTACAGCCTTGAAGCACAAAATAACTGGAGTAAATGGTGTACAACACATAACTCCTAAATCCATTCAATTTGTTAAATTATGCCTTGAATTTATACAACCCCCCCCCCCCCAACCCACACCCACACACACAACCCATCCTTCAGTTTTGAGCTATGATTTCCTATTTGGGCCTATTTTGGGGCTAATTAAACTCCCAAGGTGATTATTAACAAACCTCTGGATGAAGTTAAGACATTATTAGTATCCATGTGTTCTTTACGTCTGTTTATCATTAGTCACTCTTACATTAGTTACAATACAATTACTGAAAAAGATATTATAATTTTCAAAGCCCTCTATGTTGAACCCATACAAGCAAATCTACACATCTTTAGGATAGTGGCATACCAATTAAGATTTCTGCTAAATTCTACACCTATGGCATAAACAAACCACATAAACACAAACCTAAAATATCAATATCAGAAGTAAATGTTAGCACAACTTCCCCCTTGTTAGAGAAGGACTAATGGAAAAGGAAAAGTATGCATTACTCATTAAGGTTCACAAAAGGAACATATCTCCCTACCCCAAAATACCAAAGCAAATGTACAATGAAATTTTCAGGCTTCATATACAGTGCAGTATAAGCTTGGAACAAACATAATCCGCGATTCTTTAGAAATAACAGCATTGTGTGGAGAGGAAACTACAACTATACCAAAGGAAAACTTGCACATGATGTATGTATGCCCGGGATGAAATCTATTTCAAATCCCAAACCCAATATTCTCAATTCAATGCTTTGACACTAATGTCATGCTATGTCTAAGTCACTCACCTAAGATCACAAGGAACATCAACATAAAAATGTAAACATTGATTTTAAAGGCCAAAAAACTGACACATAACCCCAGCACATACCATCATAATAAGAAGAAAATACTACAGATGCATTTTCCAATTCAAAAGCTATACCAAGTAAAGCAATCAGGAAAGAAGATTACCACTTCAGCCTACTGAGTCTTCTTCTTTTTCTTGTACAATGACACTGGGATCTTTCTTAAAACAGTTGCATCAACCTTTCTGTAACCAGCATCGAGTAGTCTACATGCTACATTCATCTTCTCATCAACCTGCCTCTGGTATTTTTCATACAACATTGGCACCGATAGAGCAAGAAGGAATCCTACCCAATTTATCGAATCAAACATCAATATTAATACACAGTGATACCCATAAGCCAAGAGCAGCACAAAAAAAGCAGTGAAAAGCGTGATCATATAAAAGCACTCACCAATATAGACAAATGTGACGAAATTGCACAAACTACCAATGTATGAAATCAACCACAACAATACCGCAACCTGAACGCAAAATTCAGAATTACTATGACTAATTATGAACAAATTGCAAACAGAAAACACAATTTTCCACCAATTAAGACACAAAACCTGAAGAAGAACCCTCAAATTCCCACAAACAGCAATCTCATGAGCAACAGCCAATGCACGATTAAGCCAAACTCGAATCACATCAGCGGCCTGCTCGATCGACTTATCCGATACTTCCAAATCAGGGACAGGTGGAAGAGGTCTAGTTCATCAATCACAACAAACAAATTCACCACATTTCAATTTCAACCAACATCAAAGAAATCATCAAAACATAAAACCAAAGAAAATCAATTACCTATTGAGAAGAGAAGCAGATTTCGCCCAGAAAAAGAGGATAGCAACAAGAAGCAAAAGCACATTAGCGACGAAAGTTAAAGGATTATAACCAGCACGTTCAAAGAGAAGCCATAATGATGTTGATGAGACTAGCAACAAAATACTTCCGAAACGTTTTCTCCATAATAGCACGTCTGCAACTGAAAATTACATCAAAATTCATCAAAATTGCGTCAAGAAATCAGCAGAAATGATCGAAATTGCAGAGATCAAACGAAATTGGATGAAAATTTGAGGAGAGAGAAAGAGTACCATAACCAGAGCCGAGAGTTTGATGAACAGAAATGCGACGATTAGAGTGAGAATCGCCCATTATATGATTGTTAGGGTTTGTGGATTCTCCTATTCTTTGAAGAATTAGGGTTTCTGATTCGAGATTCTTAAGAAAGAGAAAGAGGAAGAGAGAGAAAAATTGGATGTTAGGGAAAGCAGTTGAGAAAGAAATGAAAATTGAAATGGTGACGACAATTTTACGTTATTATGATATTGAAAATAGAGGGAATATTCATACAATTGTTGCTACCGGAAATGACAAATTAATGAATTATTGTTGTCCAATACGGCATTTACGTACTTGATTGTAAAAAAATTACGTACTTGTATACTTGTAGTTTTTTTTTTTTTTTTTTTTTTTTTATATATACTCTAATTGACATTATTTTTTTGCGTGAAAAATACAAATTGTATGAGCAAATGATGTAGATGGAATTTATATAATACTGAAATTATTGTAGCTAACTTTAAGATAAAAAGAGGACAAAATACCTATGAGTATAAATTTAGGTTGCATTTTTATTTGAATTTAACCTCTAAAAAGTATACTAGACTCTATGCAATGGATGACAATTGGGAAATTAGGGACCATTCTCCTCACATTTAAAGAATTGTTATGGATGAGACATTAATATGACCAAATTAAGAAAATTATCATACTTTTGTAAGGAAAATAATACATGATACAAGTACATGTAAGAAGTTACAAAAGGAAATTTTAGCTCAGCCGGTGTTTAATTTTACCATATATTATCATACTAATATCAATGTCATGTTTCAACAAAATAAACCCATGATGGCCATGAATATGTGTGAGTGAAGCAAGTCTAACTACACATTAGCATCCAAAACTTATCTTCAAGTAACTTTTTTCAATTAATTTGAACTTGAGATAATAGTAATGTAAATCATAGCCCTAAAAAATGATTAGCTAAAAGGTTAAAATAATATGGAGTGAATAAAGAGGAAAAAAAACTACACCAAACAGTAATTGTCATAAAGTCTCATCTTCAAACCATTTTACATAGTACGAAGTAATAGATAAAACAGAGTTAAGTATACAAATGGTGATCAAGTTTTTGTTTTTTTCACCCTTTGGTGATCAAGTTTTTTTATTTCACCCTTTGGTGATCAAGTTTTTTTATTTCACCCTTTGGGTTAACTCACCGGAACATCTTTTAATTGTTTTGAACTCAAAAAAAAAAAAAAAAAAAAACGAAAAAACAAAAAAACTTAGTCGCCCAACATAAACTTAATCACTTTCCCAAAAACATAATCACTTATCAATATTAAATCCTGAAATGAGTTTCAAAGCTGAATATACTCCGTATAATACTAGCTGTTGGGATAAATTACAAAAGTATAAATCAGGAGTATGTTTCCACACCCCACCAAATCGAACAACAAGTGCCATTGGGATCATCTCCATCTAAAACATATAATTGGCATTCAATTAAAAACTCAATAGCTATTGTTTAACATCAACACATATTGAAAATAAAACAACTTCCATATAATTCACAAACAAATTAGTGAATCGCTAAACATCGCCCGCAAATTACCATATAAAGCCCACAAATATGACTTGGTGTGACCATTATGCCCATTTTCTAAAATTGAAATAATCTCGGTTTAAAAAATGTGGAGCCGTACTGGCTCGCCGGGGGAGACCGGAGGGCAGGCCGGAGATGCGGGGGACGCCGTAGGTACGTCGTCGTCGACGGAAAACGAGGTAAGTCACCATTAAAATTCACGGGGTTTACCGTCGGAGTGGCTCTGGCGCCTAGGATGGACGCCCAAACCGTAGCTTGGACGTCCAAGCCAGACGCCAGAACCACCAGAGTGGCGTCCAGCCCAGACGCCCAGACCACCAGAGTGGCGTCCAGCCCAGACCACCAGACTGGCGTCCTGGCCAGACGCCCAGACCACCAGACTGGCGTCCTGGCCAGGCGCCACTCTACTGGCTGAGGCGGCCCTGCCAGGCGCCAGTCCAGTGGCTGTGGCAGCCCTGGAAGACGCCACCCTTATAAATTAATTTTTTTTTTCTTTTTTGATTTCGTTGTTGTTTTTTATTTATTTATTTTTTTTTTAAAAAAAAATCGAAAATGATTTTTTAAAAAAATTCGAAATGGGTTTTTTTTTAAATTAATTTTGAAAATTCGAAATAGGTTTTTTTAAAATTAAGTTTGAAATTCGAAATGGTATATTTTTAAATTTAGTTTGAAAATTCGAATTGGGTTTTTATAAAAATTAAGTTTGATTATACAAAATTATGCTTTTTTTTGTGTTAATTCTGTGTAAATATAGAAATTAAATGTATTATCCGTTAAATGTATTTATTGTAATATATAATTGATGCAGGATTATGGTGGAGACGGAAATGATTACAGTGGGATATTTGGACATGATGGTCCATTCGAAGAAGCTCAACAGGCGATTGATTGGGCAAAACAGGTTGCAATTGCAGCTGGATTTTGCTTGGTAGTAGTAACTCATAAATCTCAACGAGATGGTAGAATGGATCGAATTTTGAGATGTGACCGTTATCGCAAAAGAGAAGACAGGGATTTTCGTACAGCCACTCGGTTTGATACAAAGCGGAAAGGTTGTGGGTGTGAGTTCAGAGTAAAGGTTCGACAACTACGGAGTCGTGACGGTTGGGAAGTGATTGGTTACTCTAAATGGGGGTATCACAACCATGAGATGATAGTATATGAAGAGGTTCATCGACAGCTGAGCGGCTTAAGTCCTGCTGCGAAAGTAGTTGTGAAAGAAATGAGTGATGCTCAAGTCAAGCCTGCTAAAATATTAGCATCTGTGTTAGAGAAATTTCCAGAAGACCATCCAAACCGAAGACACATCTACAACGTCAGACAGCAACTCAGGTTTGAACGGTCAGAGGGAAGGAACCCTATACAGCAGCTGCTACACCAGGCACAATCACGTGGTTACCTGTTCTGGTTTGATTCTGATGAAGATACAACGGAGGTGACTCATCTTTTCCTTGTGCATCCTGATTGTGCTGATATGATCAAGTCTTGGCCATTTGTGATTTTGATCGACTCAACGTACAAGACAAACAAGTACAAGTTCCCACTGGTTGAGATCATGGGGATGACTCCAACGAACCAGAACTTTCTGATTGGTCATGCAATCATCAAGGATGAGACGGCTCCAAGTTATTATTGGGTGTTGGAGAAGCTGAGAAACTACATCGGGCCTAATGTTCATCCAACAGCCATCGTCAGCGACTGTGAGGGAGGTCTCTTTGCCCCTATAGCAGAGTTGTTTCCAGAATCGAACCACTTATTGTGCACATGGCACATCAACAACTGCGTGAAAGTGAAAGCCTACAACCTTTTCAACAAGAATTTGGAAATAGCAGAGAGATTGGTGAATGGTAAGTGGCGGAAGATCCTACAGGCTACCACAGAGGAAGCGTATGAGCGAGCATTGGCTAACTTCAGGGATTCGTACCAGTGGTGTCCGGCACTGGTGGACTATGTGATGCAGCAATGGGTCCCTCACAGGGAAAAGTTTGTCAAATATTGGACAAGCCAGGTACTTCATTTCGGGAACACTACAACATGTAGAGTTGAGAGCGCTCATAGAGCTACCAAGGACTGGATTGATTCATCGACCGCTGCTTTGGATACACTGTTCGATAGACTTAACAAGTCAATTGAAACTCAGAAGAACGGCATCAGGAACTCTCTAGAGGACTCCAGACGACGACATGGTACGATGTATAGCCATTTTATATTTAAGATTCTCCATGGTCGTGTGTCGCACTACTGCTTGGGGTTGATTCTCACTGAGCTGAACAGGATGAGGGACTTGGCTGATGAAGTGTATGCTCGGTGTGGGTGTGCTATTTCACTGAGCCGATCCCCAGGAAAACTGGCCTACACTGTCGGGGTCACACACCTCTACTGTGTCGCGTGGCCTGAGCTTGTTTCCGCCGCTCTTATCCGGAAACAAGGTACATCCGAGGAGTAGAAAAACATAAGCACTCAGCTGTGCGTCGTGCGTCCTACGTACACTGGGGTACAAACACCGCTGCAACACGGATGCGATCTTCACACCTAAATCAAATAAACTACTACCCAAATCAAATAAACTAAAAACATACTAACAAATTAACATAATAAAGAAATTAACAAAACACTTAAATAAAAATAATAGAATAAAAAATACACTTAGAAAGGAAATAAAATCAACACAGAAGAATATATATAAACATAAATAATTCATTCCCAATTAAAATAAATTAACTAACCAAAAACAATATCAATAATAAAATTTAAAATAAATTAACTAACCAAAAACAATATCAAAGTCACAAAAAAAATTTAAAACAAATCAAAATAGAGAATAAAAATAAAAATGTACAAAAAAACAAACAAATAATTGTAAACAAAATATAAACATAAAAAAAATACAACAAAATTGAAAAAATTTATAAAAATAAACAACAAAATATAAAAACAATTCAAAAAGATATTACACAAAAAAAAAAAAAAAAAAAAAAACAATATTTTAAAACAAATATAAAAAAAAAAAGAAAAAAAAGGGGGGGGCGCCTTGGCTGGACGCCCAGCCAGCGGTGGTGGCGCCAGCTGCAGACGCCGCCACCAGTGGGCTGGCGCCTGGGCTGGACGCCACAGCCACGGCTGCGGCGCCTTGAATAAACGCCACAACCGTGGCTATGGCGTCCAGCCCAGGCGCCAGCCTACTGGTGGCGGCGTCTGCAGCTGGCGCCACCACCGCTGGCTGGGCGTCCAGCCAGGGCGCCCCACCTCCGTCACGGCGGTTTTTCCTTTTTTTTTTTTTTTTTTTTTTTTTTACAAATTGTACCTTGCCTCCTTGGGACCTCCTTCCCTCCGCCGCCGCCGCCAATTCCTTGCCTTGCCGCCTCGACATTGCCGTTGTTTGAATTTTTTTTTTAGAGAGGTTGAAAGAAGATGAGCGATGAGAGATGAGAGTGTGAGTGTTTTTTTTAGGTCAAGGGCAATATTGTCAAACCAAGTGAATTTTGTGGGCTTTATGTAGTAATTTGTGGGCGATGTTTAACAAATCCCACAAATTAACACATAAATACACTTTACTTGACATTAAATACTAAATTCTTTCAATTAAGTACAATTACTCTGTTTCACACTACTCCTTCGAATTACACTAAAGTCAAGATACCCACCCAATTTAACCATGCATTAGCAAATCAAGAGTCTTACAACAATAATCTAAAGGTAAAAATACGAAATTTTATCATCAAACACCAAATTCGACCCTAAATTCAGGAAGAATTCCACAATTTTTGACACTTTAAACCCTACTTTTTTCGATTTTAAAGACGACACAACGATTGAGGCAATTATGAATAACTTAACCAAAGAGATCAAGTACAAATTTACCTTTCAAAGTGCCGAACTCCTTTAATCAAGCTTTCCAAAAGAGCAAATCACCATTATTCATTAAGAGTGAAGTTTGAAGAACTAGTAAAGAAAATAAAAAAAATAAAAAAAAAAAAGGAAACGTGGGGAAGGGGAAGAAGTGCACCAAAGGGGGAAATTTTGGGAAAAGTTCATAAGAGGCGTCATTTTCACAAATTTGACGTGCCTCGTGTGAATAAAAAAAAATTAAATACCTGTTTTTTTCCTATTGGTTAACCACAAGTGACCAAGTTTTTAACCCATATCTGACAAGTGATTAAGTTTTTGCTTCCTTTTTATTTATTTTTTGCCAGAATTACCCCTCTAATCACCAAACGGTGAAAAAAATAACATAATCACCAAATAGTAAAAAAATATAAAACATAATCACCAACCTTATGCTTAACTCAGATAAAACATACGAAGTTTGAAGTAGAAGTTGATATGATTCCAAACTTTTTGATCCGTAATCCCCTGCTTCACTTTATTGTGTTAGCTGAATTTCGAAATTTCATTTCGAAGTATAGTGGGGTGGCTCAGTCATATGGGGGCTAAGGCACAACAGTGCACGGCCATGAAACTTTGAATTAAGCAAGTACATAGCTATTAGTCTATTACATAGCAATTAGCAACTAAATGAGGCATACAACACAGCAATCTATAAAACATACTATTATGCCCAATAACCGTACTATGCAAATACATGAAATCGTAGTTGCTCAGTCATGAGTGTCCAAAAACATGAACTGTTGAGGGTTTGTTCAATAACCAATATAACCGTACTTGGCTCAACCATGCAACTATCAATTTTTAATTTCCAATTGAATGATCTATTGAATGATCTCAGAGTTAGCAAAGCGCTGTAATTCAGGACAAATGGAGATCTCTACTTTGCTTCAGCCAATCACAATTTGAGCAATTTTGTGTTATATGGCAATTGGAGAAAAATCACTGCCGGAGAAAGTCTTCCGGAAGTGCTCAATCATCTCCTGTCTTCTCATCATTATCAGTATCCCCGCTATCATCGGAAACATCCACTTTCTGATGCTCGCCTCCAGCTGTATTGGGTTTGCTTCTCTTCTCCTTCTTTCTCTGCTTCTTTTTCTGGCGTTTTGCACGCTTTTTAGCTGCTTGTTCTTCAGCAGCTTTCAGTCTTTGTTCTCTTCTATATTCGAATTCTGCAACCTCTCTCCTTCTTTGATAGTCAACTTCCATTCTGACAAGCCTGTCTTGCTCTTTCCGCCTCATTTGCCGGTACTTCAATACAAATTTAGCATTCAAACCAGGATAACAAGAATCTGTCTTTGGGTCACAAAAAATAGGAAGGGGGAATAAACACAAGAACATAAGCGCACCTTACCTGAAATAGGCCATTGGTCAACCCATATAGATTATATATATTCAAATACACACACACACAGAGGTAAGATAAACAGGCAGAAATGTAGGAGTCGAGAATGTCAGGTGCACAACTATGCATAATTGCCATCAATTAGGTTCAACATGTTTGACCAGTTTTTTAAGGAGCTAGTAAAAGGTAATAATGAAAACTAACTTGAGCCTTGAGGTACTGTGTCTAAGATAAAGAAAATTATGTACTTCACTTGTAAGGTCCACCCTGATACCCTCATCCAGATTTTGCATTTTATTCAAATAATGCATGCCAACACAATCACAATCTTAGTTTCAGTTGTTTTGTCTTAAAACAAACAGCTAGTAATAACTCATTTCTCAATGGCTCTCCAGCAAATGCATTTTACACACCAGAGGAGCTATAGGATGGGCACGTCAAAGAAGAGAATAATGTAACCATGGCAGTATGGCAATGCCCAAACTCAACCTCATGCTTATACAGTAACCATGACAGCATGGCATTGCCCATACATGAGAAAAAAAAAAAGGACGCCAAATATATTTAACACGCGACAGTCAGACTCTTGCAGAATAAACGAGTAGTTCAAGGATGAATACTAAAACAGTAAAACTTGTAGAAGGTTGTTAATAAAACTTAAAGAAAGTTGTTCATAAAACTTGTAGAAGGTTGTTCAAAGGCACCCACGGGTTCCCAGCTAAACATGACAAATTGACAAGTATACTAAAGCAAGAGAATATATGGTTCCACCATTCAGCAGCAGTCAAGGTTATTAAATTCAAGTCGAGAGTTGCAGTGAAAAGTTTGAAAACAAAAACTTTGATACCTTTAAACCTAAATGACTTATATAAGTGACAAATGAAGCTACAAGAAGAGTGTTACACAAAGCAAACAGAAGATGCATTTGTCATCAAACCAGCAAAAGAAGATTCCTCCTTTTCTCCCACCCTAGATTTTCCTATTTGCTAAAACCTTTCAGTGGATAAAGGTTGCAATTATATAAGAAGTATTGCTTATGTATTGAATTATAGTTTTCATTGACAAACTAAATGCACCCATTTCCGGTAATTCAGCCATATGCCCTACCTATTACTTCCATCTACAACATCAAGCAATAAAAAAAAAACAAGATGATGAACTTGAGCTGTATCATAAACTTCCTCATCACACAAATCATCCACGTCGAACATGTGTCTCCGTTTCCTTATCACTCATGCTCCCAACTGAACCATTTCCACAAACCAAAGTATCCACTCCAACTTCCAACTAATAATTCATAACACAGAAAACCGCCCCTTTGCTCAATTTGTTTTGTGATTATAACCTCCTAAGAAATTTCAACAATTGGTCATGATCATTTCACTTACTCTAATTTTTGCAGGAGTCAAGCTCGATTTCAAAAATAAATTACAACCCGAAATACATTACACACATAACTTCTTACACAACCAACTAGCAATAACCACAGAAAAACTCATTAAACAAATAGGCAAAATCATCCTTAAATCGCATCACTTGCAAGATTCCACTGTATACCACAAGCATCAAAATTTCCCCTTTTCGCTTGTTAAACAGTAATCCCTAATTTCGACTCAAAAAGATATCAACTTCAACCACTATATTTACTCCCCCAAGTTCTCATAATCTATTGTTCTTGCAAATTAAACTGCATTTAGCTACCAAATCACAACTGAATAAATAAAATTAACAACTAAAATTTCCTAAAAACAACATAAAGAGTTATTTAAATAAATGAATGAAAATTAAGGGCTTAGGGTTTTAGAGAAAGGAAACCTGATGAAAATCGCCGGAGCCAGAACCAGCAGAACTACCAGAAGTATTACTAACACGAACAGGAACATTCTCAAGAATACGACGTAGTTTAATCTCAATATCTTCCTCTTCTTCTTTGAAAGGAGCGCGAGTGTACTCTACGATCGCGTTGCTTGTCGATGGCGGCGGTCTAGGTGGCAAAGCGGACATTGTTGTCGGCTTATCTTCTACTGCAACTATCTGTAAGTCGCCTTCTAACACCGACCTCGATTGACCCGATGACATTGTTTTGATTCGAAAAATTGAATGAAATTGGATGGTTTTGTAAGAAATTGAATGGTATTACGAGAAGATTTTGTGATTATTGATGATTTTTGAATGATTTGGGGGTAAAATTGGGGGTAAGTTGTGAATTGAAAACCCTAGAAATTTGATAGGAAATTGCGGCTTCCCGGGGAGGAGACGAGTACGGATTATTGACGGAAAGAAAGACTAAAGAGTATAGAACAGACAAAAAATGAGAATCGATTGATCAATGGTTAAAAACGTATGTAAAATAGGATGGGTATGTAAAATGTATACTCTCCTGTTCCTTTAGGCTTTATTTGGTTCAATATTAGTAAAGGAAAAGAAGAGAAAGGATGGGAAGGGAAAAGAAAGGTGATTTTATTTTCCAATATTTGGTTGATGAAAGGAAATGAAGGGAAGAGAAAGGAAATTACTTTTATTTTTCTCTTTCCAGTCAAATTCCTCCAATTTTGGGAGGAAAGAAAAGCCAAAATTTTGTTAAGAGACTTTCCTCTCACTTCCCTTCCTTTCCTTTAGATTTTTATGTCATTTATTCAACCAAATATGTGAATATGATTAAAACAATTTCCTTTCTTTTCTTTTCCATCCAAATCCCTTCAACTAAAAAGGGCCTTATTTTTGCCCGAATTGGATTGGATTTTAGTTTAAAAAATTTAACCATGCATTATCGTTTATTTACAAGAGATTATATACTATGTAGTAGAGATTATATACTATGTAATTGAGTGGGATTTTGTTAGGTTCCTCACATCATATATTTTATTTATAAGACGCGTTTTGGAGACCATGTAAAGTCAAATGGGGCGTAAATGTTTTTTTAGATTTTAAACTTATATAAGAATCAATGGTTAAAAACAGACAAATATGAATTTAACCTTAGTAGTATCTAATTAAGATTGTGTCCTTTTCAAGAAGAAAGGGGCTCATTTGATGAAAGAGATAAAGAAAATCCCTCAAATAAGTCTCATGAGATTTAATCCCTAAACCTCGGAGATATAATGTGGGAATAATATCACTACTCCATCACCTCAACCTCAACCTCAACCTCAATTACATTACTAAAATTGATTTGTACTAATAAAGCTGATAGTAAGCTAAGATTATAACATACTAGTGTATCAACACAAAAACTTTACACCAGTAACTACTTGTCTCATCCTTGTGTTTCATTTTCATTTGATATATCCCCCATTTCCTCGTCTTTTGACGTTAGTTTCTTCTACGTTTTATTAAAATCCAAACTTTTCTTTTTCCAACATTGTCAATAATGCCAATATTATATTATTATGATTCCTTTCACCGGCCTGTTTCCTTTTTGTGATCAATTACACCATTTATTTCCATTTGAGAAACTACTAAGAAAAAGAAAGTAGGTTCATATAAACTCTTGCCAAAATTCAACTCTGATTTATCCATTTATCTGATGGTAGCTGCTAAGCTACGGCTTTATAACATTACAAGACTATGAGTTTGTAACTTCTAGTCTTTTTTATATCTAAACAACTTTTAAATTTATAAACACTTTGATTACAATGATGATGACCATTGATGAAGACCAAAAGAATGAGGGTTTGCAAGTCTTGCGAGACTTCCTTAAGCAACGCCCGTGGTCGGTATCAGACCCCGGTGTATCATCAATGAAATTCGAACGCCCGCCTCGGGAGTACCTCTCCTCGCCTCTTCTTCAAGGAAAATTCCAACTACAAGAACACGAGACTTCAACATTAATCAAACATGAATTTGAAGTAGAAGATCAACAACAAAATCGCGATCAAGGTAACTTTGATGTCTTCCTAGGTACTAATAGTGTTATGCATACACTCAAAACTATAAGGTCAAAAACTCTAGGAAACAAAAACTTTCTTAAGTGGGTGTTTACTTTGCTAAATGTGGTTGTTGAGCTATGTCAAGCAATATTTTCCCAAGAGGAAAATGAAAGAAAAATAAGTCACAACATTTACCTTAAATTAAGCATCATTACTTCCTCTATATGCTTAATGATGGCGATTTTCGAGACGTTTTATGAAGTAAAAAGAGTTGGAGTAGTATGGCAAAAGAGAGGTTATTGTTGTTGGTTTTACTATCCAGGAAATGAAGGTTGATTATTTGGCAGATTTTCTCTTTACTTCGGTCTCATTAGTTCAATGATCCAACTTGTCATAAACCTAGTAGAAAAACTTGCCAAAAAAGACATTGTAAAATTTGACTACATAGAATTGTTGCTAGCAATTTGTTATTTGGTTGCAGCAATCATTGGTACTCCAGAGAAAACGCCTTCGGCGATATCGATTAGGTGTAATGTTCATGGATTAAGTGTTGTTGAAGCTACAAATGTTGAAGGCCATGAAAACAGGGTATACCGATGTCCTCTGTGTTACACGGATGAGTATGTGGTGCTTTGAATTTGAATTGTTTATATTCCTATGATTCACTGTTAGGCATTGCAATTTTTTTTTCTTTCTCGAATTTTACAAAAATTCCTAATGCTAAATTATTTTTCTATGTTTCTTATATCATCAAAGTTTATATTTTTTTTTATCCTTTGTTAAAAAAAAAAAAAGTTCATATTTTACTCTATTGACTTGTTTATTAGTAATCTAACTTGTTTGATCATATAGTGATTAATCTTAATTAGTTCTAAACTTCTAATGATAAATATGTTAAAAGTTTTAAATAAGTGATTATTTTACGAGTATTAATTTTACCAAGGGTACCTTACTACTTTTTCCGTTCTTTTTTACGTGACCCACTTTGACTTTTGCATTATTCAATACCTCATCTTTAATAATGCATATTTATGTGGGTTTTTTTGAATTCGTCTAAACGGATACAACACGTGTGGGTTTTTTTGAATTCGTCTAAACGAATACTATCATAATATATAATTTTTACTTATAGAAAAATAAAGTTATGGATCATTAAAAATTTTATAACCAATTGGTTGTTGATATAGTGGTGATTAGGACTACACTTGGTAGGGAAGACTCGTGTTCGATCCTCCGCAACAACAATTGGGAGGGGACTGGAACCTAACCATCCAAAACTGATCCCCGAATCCGGATTAGCCCAAAGGGTGAAGCGGGTGAAACACCAAAAAAAAAAAATTTGACAATCATGATAAAAGAAAAAAGAAGCAAGTCAAATAAAAACGGACCAAGTATGTAATTGTCAACGCAGCTCGAATGAACGATCATTTGTCTGTTGTCATCCATCAGTGTAGGACATTACTCCTATGATGATACGCGTAATATAGAAGACTAAATAGCATAACAACAATTTACTCGAAATAGTGAACGTCCAAGAATTTGCCTTTTGATCATCAGAGCTACTAGTGTGACACTGTGACTTAATTTCATGTGGTTTAGTCATTGGTGTGAAGATTTAAGGAAATTAGGACTTTATTAGACCATCAATTGTCTTGTAAGTATGCAAGTACTAGAGAGTTACGGAGTACCTTGTATAATCATGACAATAAGAGTTATGACTTGTGAGACAGTGGCCAAAGCATATTAGCTACGGAATACAACACGTGTAAAAATAAAGGCGTGCTTCATATTTGTAAGTATGTGGAGAGATCTAATATTTCCTCCGTTTTCTTTTACTTGCAACACACCTTTTAGGCACGCAGTTTTAGGAGATGATTAGTGAGGATAAACGAGCGATTTTATCAATATAATTTTTACACGAAGATTAGAATAGGGTTAAGTATCATTTGTAAAAATTATAATGAATAATTTATCCGTTTACATTACATAAACCCGACCTCAAAACACGTGCCACAAGGCTGTGTTGCAAGTAAAAAGAAACGGAGGAAGTATACTTTAATTGACATATATGTCAATATACAATTTTGATCAATAATAATTTAATGATTATAAAACAAATTTAAGTTGGTCCAATAATACAAATCACACTTCAATAATGATATTAGTTTCATGATAACCAATTGGTTTTAAGGATTGATTTAAGTTTAATCTAACACTAATAATAATATGTTTTTTTGTCAGAAATTACCTAACAAAGCCCAAATTGTGAGATTCTGAGATAAATTACCTAATAAAAAAATATTGTAAAAAATTATCTAAAAAAAAGATAAAATGTTGTAAAATATTACCCACCATTAATCTAATTTTTCGAATTTTTTTTTTTAATTATATTTACGGGAGTTAACTTGCCTTAAAACACCCTGAAATAAAAGTCGGTGTACGTGAGGTCACGTCAATACCAACAACTATAACGGCAGGTAACTCCAGTTAAGTAACGATGATTAAAATTACTATACGTAATACACGGTCGGGTGACTCGGGTGTATGTGGCTAGAGAGACAAGTCAGTTTGTTGCATTTACAATCACAAATTCACAAGTTACTTACTTTTTGTTGTTCATTTCCAGTGAATTTCATGGAAACCAACTGGAAGGTGCTTAGTTGCTGACTTCTACTCACAAATCAGTTTACACAGTTAGAAGTAGAGCTCATTATAAGCATAATAGGTAACGGTGTATAGTATAACTTGTTCAACGCTACTCAATTACTTCATAATCAAGTTAGTTAAAATCTTCCCTGCTCCTCATTCTCATTGAAATTCCCAATGGCCGAACTCGGAACCACCCTTGCTAATAAGCTCATGGAAGTCGCCGGATCTGCGACCATCAAAAAGAATTGTCAAATATTCGGTTACAAATCTCAACTCGAAGACCTCATCAAAACTGTCTCCGCCATCACGAATGTGCTCTTTGATGCTGACTCCAAACAGGAACGACTCTCCCACGACGAATTACGTGGCTATATCGAGGATCTCAAGGCTGCTCTTGTTAAGTTATTCACCGACCTTGTTGAGTCGAAGCTGCTGCTTGATCGCCGTCATGTTGATGCTGAGAAGAAATTTGGTGGTTCGGTTAACATTTGGATTCTGGCTTCCACAGTGCGTTATCGGGTTAAGTTCAATAAGTTTGGGCTTAGTGTAGTAGACTACAATCCTATTTGTAGCATAAGGGAGGAAACTAGTTCCTACGTGGATGCAGTGGAAAATCTACAAAATCGTGATCAAGGTAACTTTCATGTCTCCCTAACTACTACGAGTGGTACTAATAGTTTTGTGCATATACTCAAAACCATAAGATCAAGAACTCTAGGAAACAGAGATTTTCTTAGGTGGGTGTTTGTTGTGCTTAATGTGGTTGTTGAGTTATGTCAAGCTACATTTTCCCAAGTGAAAAATCAAGGAAAAATGGGTCCAAATATATACTTTAAATTAAGCATCATTACTTCCTCTATATG